ATCTGACTCGAATAGAAATTGACATCTATGTAATGGCTTTAAAAAAAACACCCTCTTTATTTCTGTTTCTCTGAAAATGCATTTGGCGTATAATGTATCAGTGACAGGTCTAATTAAAGAGGCTTTGCCAAGAGGGCATCTTTGTTTGAGGCAATAATGTATTGTTTTGGGACACAGTATCCTTAAGTCAAAACTTGCTCTTACTGACTAGGATAACTGTGAAAATCTTGTTAAATAGTCAAATAGGCTACAAAAAAAGAAAAAAAAAGACATGACCCATTGAGCCTCATCTTATTATAACTTACATTTTCTGTTTATTTAACTTTGCTTTTGACCCTAAACAAAGATCAGCATTTTTGGATATTTACAGACCTTGTGGGATAACCTCCTAATAATCTATAAACAATCTATTGACAAGTCTAAACAAGAACTTTTAGAAAAAAACTACAGAAATTTTAAACTTTCTTGTTTTTTTTATCCATTTAAGCACAAACTACTGTAAATTCCACACTTTAAATATCCAGAGAAGGTCTCTTAAATGATAGTGTAAACCATGTTGGTAGAAATGTGATGTATTGTGCCTTAGAAACCAATGAGCCAAAACCAACGCCTAAACAACCTTAATCTCCTCCTCATTGTTTCCTTGGAACTGTTTAACTCTGACTTATCATAACATTTCCAGAGAGAGAGACATGATTCAGCTCTCCAGCAAACATGTCTTCACCCTCCTAGAAGCCAGTAATGGGTTTTAGGGCTAGTGATGTAACACCAGTGATGTAAGGCTAGTTTGCAGCTGATCGTTCATGAAAACACCAATTCTATATAATTCTCAATGTGTTTGTTGTTCTGCAGGCAATCTGAAGAAAACTTGAAGTTTAGAGATTTTTCTGACCACTGCTTACTTTACAACTCAGCTGTTTTTCGTTTCTACAAGAATTTGATATAAGTCAGTGCATACAGTACAGTCATTGTTTTTTTAAAGTGAAGAAAAAATATAAAACTCCATTTAGAGTTGCAATGCGGCATCTTGGAGACTGCCATCCCCTTAGTCAGGATGAATTTTATTCAAAAGTATTTATACTGTAGTTTATGCTTCACCATTGTCTAACTTAAATGTAACAGATTTTTTTCTACTTAATGTATTTCTAAATATTTAAATGAATTAATTTGGTTAAATGGATTTAAATTTATATAATATATGTCATTGTATAATAAGCAGCTTATTAAAAAAAAGGAAGTTTATAGATTATTAGCAGTCTCTGTCTATATACCAGTTTTCCTGAATGATTAAGAAAGTAAAAAAAAAAATGTTGTTCTGGTGGCTTATATTTAAATAAATGCAAAAATAAATAAATAATTCATATCATTTATTGTTATTAAACCATGGTGGATTAAGCATATTTCTTTCATTTTTACCGAAGTGTTACTGTTTTTCTTTTGGTTTCTTAAACTAAATCAGTCTCTGAGGGAGGGAGGTTTTTGTACGACTGTTTTTCACTGTGTGAAGCCCCACTGACTGTTGATCAGATGAACACTCTGACAGTAGTAAACTGCAGCATCTTCAGTCTGAACTCCACTGATGGTCAGAGTGAAGTCAGAGTTTGATCCACTGCCTGTAAAACGACTTGAAATCCCTGATAGTCGTTGATTAACAAGCTTGATCAGAGCTGTGGGACGTTGCTCTCCTCTCTGCTTGTACCATGCTAACTCATTTCCATTATAAACATTCTGACTGGTCCTACATCTGATGCTGACAGATCCTCCAAGATCAGCTCTCACTGCTGCAGGCTGAGTCACTGTGACCTGATCTCTGGACTCTGAGGACACAGAGACAAAAACAT